AACTTAACTGGATAAAATGTAGATCATAATCTCTTACTATCTAAGAGTGACGAATCCTCTATTGATCATTCACAACCTTCATATGATTCTTGACATACCCGAACGATGCTGTATTAGCGACCCTTGACGGAGTAACATCCAACACCGCCAAAGTATGACTACCTTCATATAAGGTACTATGATGATCTCAAGTCAAAGGACCAATTCCACTACCGAACGTTAGAGATTAACCACTAATACTTAGATAGTTATCCATGTAGAATCTCCCAACGAGTCTCCAATGTTTTGTTCTATAACAAAACATCCACGTGTTCATTCAAGTGTCACCACACTTTAGCTTGTGAGATCAGCTACTTACTTCACAAGTAAGAATGTCACACGCGATGGTCTATCCGTAATAACGATATCCGTATCTCGTTATTACTTCGACCACGGACGATTTAAGATTAAGTCATATGTAATTTGTATCTCACAATCAAAACTCCTTGTGATTAACAAATCACCAAAACTTGAATCTACGGATTCTGTTATTTAATTTATTAGAATATTAATTCAATTAAATAATAGATATTGCCATAGATATGCATCGAATATATATTTAAAGTGTTTATGTCCAAAGTTGATTGGACTTAGGGCATAACACTTACAGAAGGAAGTCGGGCCACTATTTGGTGGAACAATTACAGTCATTTCAAGTGGCTCAACGAACATGAATATTGTAAATTTGAGGGTCAGCCAAGTTCTACATCAGAAATTCATGAGTTGTCAGGGTTGCTGAAACAAGTTGCTAAAATAACAGAAGAAAACGACGTGTATATCTATGTCAAATCTTTTTTTCGCAGGGGAAAAGGAGAGAAAGATAACGGGAAACAAAAATGGAAAAGCTTCGTGAAATGGAACCGCTTATGTTATTAACAAGTTTGTGTAATTTGCTGGTTTTATAATCTCTTTTTAGGCATTGAACTTTGGAATGATGTGCATCCCAGGTTGTTACAACATTCACAGGATGTTAGTTGTCAAACTTCAAAATGTAGTTGAAGAATATATTCTCACCTGTATGAACATGTTTTCCAAAATTTAGTATTTCCATTTTTAGTAGATCTGATGAAATTTTATTAAATTTGTGTTGAGAAGTTGATCAAAGTTGTTTTTCTTCATTAGATGTGTTTGAAAATTAGTTTCAAGAAATAAGACCAGACAGGAGTTTAGTGTGTTTTATGATTTATTGTCTATATTGAAGAAACAGGGATTGGATGCCTTTGAAATTATCATTTTTACCTGCTGCGTGGTATTTCATTACAGCATGGTAAACTTGATTTTGTCTATTGGAAGAATATGGGAATTGATCCTGTAGCAAAACACAAACTTGATTCTGTCTATTGGAAGAATATGGGAATTTTGTCTTGGTTGAAGTTGAGACACAATATCAATCTTTATATAAACTAAAAACCAAAATGAACTTTATATATACCAGAAACTGCTAATGAACTTGCTTCTTACAATATGTTTTCAATTTGAATAATGCTGGGAGTACAGGACCAATCTTACAGCAAACTTACAGGATTTTGAAAAATTGATTACGTGGCACTTCCGAAAATTAAAAAAAGCCAATTGACTGGCTGAAAATTAGGAAAGTGGAAAATAAGGGAAATTACCTCCATTTTCAACCCCCCCTCCCCAAATAACTTTCTCCCACACTTTCACACCTCAGCCGTGCGAAAACCTACCGTTCTTCATCCCGGCTTCGAATTCGGCGTACTTTAGGAAGATGAACAGAAATGTTGACCTGCTGTAAATATTCATCTCCATTTTTGGGCTCTTCATCCCCATTTTCGGCCGGTAAACGCTGACCTGAAGATAATGCTGAGCCTCTTAATTCCTGGATCCGCAATAACAACATGGTTATTTCATGGATCCTCAATTCTGTATCGAAGGAGATTTCAGCCAGCATTATTTACTCTGAATCAGCTCATGAAATCTGGATAGATCTGAAGGAACGATTTCAGCAGAGGA